CTGTTACCTGGTTTGAATTGAAAACACTGCAGCCTCTGGCCCCGTTTTTTGCTCTCTCAACTGTATTTTCATGGTGCGTCATGGTACATGATTCAGAACTGCATAGAGTCAAAACCCACTTAAATCTTGCTTCAATTTAGTGAAGCAGGATATTTTAAGAGTTAGTGACTGGGCATGTCAGGTTGTTGCCAGGCTGAAACCTGCCTTTATATTCAGTTAAAAAAAGTGACACAAACAGAAAATTGTCATCTGTTTCCATGTGCCGCCTTTGTGCATCATCACTACTTTTTGCTGTTGTTCTTCCCGATGTTGAGTATCTCCAAACTAAAGTCTTTCAGGGAGTGGCTAATGACTTGTAAAATCAGAGCCTAGGCTTATGGCTGGCACTGTACAAATGAGTAATCTCTCCCTTTTGTAAGACCAATGTGAGACCAAAGGGAAAAAAAAAAAAAGAGTATTAGTCAGAGCCCAGATTTTACATTTGGGCCACATGAGGATATCAGCAAGTTTTTGCTTTGCTCATGCAGAACCGTTCTACCCAGTTTTGGAGTGGAAATAACACATTTGCTTTCCCCAGTGACAACTACACTAAGCACATGGTTGCTTTAGTGAAGGACAAGCATCAGAGATTCACCAACTCATTAAAAGACCTAAATCGAAACAAAACCAACTGAAACAATGCTTTGTAATCTCCTTGCCCAGACAGTTAAAAAAAAAAAAAAAAAAGAATTGGATATATCTGATGTGGATAGCAGCACATTGTGCAGAGGAAAGCATAAAAGCCATGAGCATTATAAACACATCGTGGTATGAACGTCTTCAGAATCAGCTATGGAGCTGCCTTATTTTTACACTACTATACACCAAGGAAATAAATACATAGGAACACTGTATGTTAAGCATCATAGGGAAATGACAGCAAAAGAACAGAGTTCTGATTACCGGTTTTTTTACTTTAGCTGCCTTGAGATGGGATTGCTGGTATCCTGTTGCAGTAGCAGAGATGGCAGTTGTTCCAGACTCATGATGAACCAGAACAGTCTGTAAGCCTAGAATCAAACAAAAAGTCAAATAAATCTGATTATGGGGAAGAAAAAGACGAAATGTACCATGCTAGTCTCTTCCATTATCATTCTAAACAGACATGGATTTCCTCTAAAATCCAAAGATTAGGTTTGGGTCTTTTTTTTCTTTTTTAAATATAGTGCACACTTAAAATGCATGTTGAAGATAAGATGAAATATGACTGCAGATTAACAGTAATTTCTTTAATCAATCTCAAACATTACCGAATAGATCTAATCCTGACCTTCTTCAAATAATGAAATGTTCATTTAAACTAATTCGTACCGTGCATTTTCTTTTGACCGCTTCCATCTTCTTTCAGAGTCAGCTCCATTGGCATATCAGGCTCAATATTGGCTAAGGATATTTTTGATGATTCCCAAACAACACTAAGAGAACTGAAGTTATCGAATTTACCGCCCTGTTGGTCATATGCAGCCAAATCCAATACTGGATTACGATAATTTGAAACAGGAACCTGAAAAAGAATGAGTATTTTGAACTGAACAGATGTAAGAGGATTTTTTTTTTTTTTAATCATTATAAGAAAAAAAATGTATGCGGAGTTCCCCGAGATTTATGGTAACACTCATTACATAAGTGATGTTCATTAAAACGAGCCATCAATGCAAAGTCATGAAACTGTACTTCAACTGCAAGGTGGTTTTTTTGGGGTGGAAGGATAAGGGGTTTTTGAGCCAGTGAGTGACCTTAAAACAAAAATCAAACCACACAGCTCAACTACGACATCTTTGGAATTCAAACAAATGATGAAAAATACTGCTATTTGTCAGAAGACACAGCTCAAAATTCTAGTGTTCATCTTTTGAAATGCATTAGCAATAGCAGTGTACTGATGTAGTCTAACTGACGCACGACAGAGCTAGAAAAACAGGTGAACTCTAAAGTGATAATACGCAAAAAACTCCTCATCTTGTTATCACACAGAAGTTACTTAAAATGATTCATCAACTCAATAGACATTGCAGTTTTATGAAAGTAGGATGACTTTTATCTTTGCCTGCTAATATTAACACGACAAAACACAGAGTTTACTCAGCAGACAATATTTGACGGCACTCACTAGGATACAGAAGAAAGTTCTTTTATGCCTGATAATCTACACATATGCACTGTCCATTTATTGTGACTCAGATTTGCAAAGCTGAATACATCTGATGTCACCAAACATGTATATGCTCACATAGGTGTCTTCACGTCAGCAGTGTCTGCGCCTTTATTAATAAGACACACCCAAATGTACACTTATGTAATAATACGTGTATGCTAAAATATGTCTCAATGTATTCAATGGAATAGTTAGATTAGAATGAAGCGTTACAGGGAAAAAGTGTTTTCCTTAGAAAGAGCCGCTGGAAACAATGCCCTCCTCCTTTTTTTTTTTTTTTTAATAAAAAAGTAGTTTATCTCAAGACAAGTCAGAAAGGCATTCTCAGAGTGACACTTCTGTGAGAAGCTGCAATCCAAATGCTTTTCCATCTCCCCCTGTTTCCTGGTAGGTCCCTTTCCGCAGCTGTTTGAATGATCACTGTAGGGAACTCCCATTCAGACTGCTCTCTGCAGAAGCAGACCACGATACCAGTGTGGCCCCACAACAAAGCGACTGCTACTCTTGCAGAAAGTCAGATGCTTTATTTCATACATGGAGATCCAAACACTGATTTTTAAGTTACAAGAACACATTATTTTCCTGGCACTTCTCAGGCTTACCACTTGCTTGTTTTGCTGCAACAAGGGGCAGGAGAGATCAAGCTGAGGACTTCCATAAACAGGAGTCAGGGTGAGTCGTGACGGGACAGCACAGATGAACTTCACAACAGCGGGCTCAACCGCTGGAAAGGGGTTTGTGATTGAGGGGTTGTTTCCAACTGTTAAGGCAATAACCTGTAGAATTATGAAAACAGGGAAGTAAGGAAAGAGATGTGGACTACTGAATTCAGGCACATTCTATTTCACAGATCTCAGTTATGCTCTAATGTCAGAGTGAACAAGGAAAAATATGATTCTGGGGGATTTACAGCATCATTAAAAGACAGGAAGATGTAAAAGGAGGTGCTTATTTCAAGAGCAGTTCTATACCATCATAGAACTTAAAAAGCTAACAGGCAGGTGTTTTTCTTGCAGAGTAAGAACAGAACAGCCCAAAGACAATATTTATAGTCACTTCAGTGTGTTTAAAAACATCTTCTGTTTTATTTTACATTCCTTTTTTAGCCCTCAACAAAGGAGAGTGGATATAAACACAGAGCAGGCTATCCCAGCAGGCTGAGGTCGCTCTGGATATCTGCCTTGTCCACCCATGCACCGATGCTAGCCAGAACCATGCAGATGTGATCGACAACAGCAGGGACAATGCATGCGCAGGCATAGACAACAACAAGCAAAAATGGTCTTTCTTTCTGAATTTGCACTTACAGAAATAGCTACACTTTGTAGAGTGTCCACTGAGGAAACCAGTTAAACAATTTGGCAGCCACACCCAAATGCTTAGTTAGGCCTTGCAGACTTACAGGAGAAAAACATAAAATCAAAGCCAAATGCTTTATAGACTGGTCAGGGTGAGTAAAGCAGGATAAATCACTTCTGCATGGCAGAGAAAACAAGACCAGGTGGAAAATGACTACACCCGCTATCGCAAAGACTGCACAAATATCAGAGCAGTAAATTCATACAGCTGTCATTTGTTTGAATAAACAGACTTATACTGGAAGGTAACTTGGTTAAGAGGAGCAGATCAGAGAGAAGAGTCAGTTCACTGCAGTAATGGTCTCCTATTTATGCAAACTCAAGCTGCACTTATTAGGGTCTGTTTAACACTTTCTACAACATAAGGTATCTGTGACTTGGCTTTATACTGCAATAAACCCATCATAAACAACTGTATAACATAATGTTAGGAAACGCTCACTCTAAAACCTGTGCCAGCATCACAATGCACAAACAATATACTTACCCAAGTCCTTTACTGGCTTATTATAAAAACTACTTGCTATATAAAAGGTATATGGTATCACGAATCCGTCTGAAGCCTGCTCTCAGTTGCCCTAGCTTAGTGTTTGATGGAGGGCAATAAAAATACCTCCTGGCACTTACTTGCTCTCCCAGGCTTTTGCAAGACACTCTAACCCAATGCTGGATGCTATTTCGAGACGTAGAAGGTCCAAACAAAGACAGAGCAATACTTTCTGCATCCTCAGCAGTGACATTCCTGAAGAACTTTGAAGGTTCTTGAACCCATGGTCTAGGTCCTCCTTCAAATAACATATCTTTGGAGGAACCCAAAGTCACTAGAGCAACAGATGGAGGATCAATAGTCTGTAATGAATGAATGAACTACAATTAATGATCCTATTTACACACACTTTGGTTGTACTTTACAAAAGAAACTTCCTTAATGGAAGGGCTATCTTTGTTCCTTTGATCAGGCTGTGATTTCTCCCCACACAGTGGTTTGTAAGCACGGTTATTTAAGAACACAGTTGTACCAGAATATTTAGCAACACCTACAAGAATTCTGTCCAGTCAGACTATATTCAATGGAACCCACAGATCTGAAGAAAAAATGTTAACTACACTCTAATCAAACATCTTTCATGAAGAATTACAGCAAGAGAAAGACCCTTAATATACTTTTCTCAGCACATTCAGAGAGATAATATTCTACAACATTTTTTAAATACACAGTACTTCTAATGAATGAAATAATGTCAAATTTTACTGTCACTTGATAGTGCTTTCTCCAGCACAGTTCTGTGTGTATAATTATTCTCCTACACAAGTTTTGCTTCAAACCTCTACAGCAAATTCTACATTGATGTGCATCACTGGGACAGGCTGTGCTGTTTATCAGCACTGAAATTAAACTGACATTTTAATACACAATAACCATTTGTGTATTAATTATTATTTATTAATTACTTAAATTTATATTATAAATTAATTAATATCATTTATTAATTATTACAAATTAATAACCACATCATTACTTAGATGTTTAGGAAGAAAGCACTTAGAGCAGCTAACATAAAGGATAGTTCATTCCTTTCCATAGGTGCTTTTTGGAAGGAAGAGAGAAGGCAAGGGCTGGCATCAATGTTCCTCTTTCCTCCCATTTACTCTTTGGCTGTATTTGTAATACAAAGGTAAAAATACCTTGGAAAACTACGAGATTTAGTCTCAAGTGTCTGCCTGCCCTTTGACTCCTGTTTATCTTTCTCCCACTTTTTATGTTACAATTTTTTTTTTTAAATAGATATCTGACAGCAAAATGCTGCCTTCCACTTCTGGGCATCATAAATCTTTAATTCTACAGAAAGGAGGGAAAAGAATGTGGAAATCATTGTTCTACACTTCAAAGAAAAATAAGCTCTTCACTGAGATATCTAAGCAGAGATGATTTTTTTTTTTAAAGTGCAGTTAATCTACCTTCCTTCTCACCAGAACCATTGAACTTCATATACGAAAAGCGGTGTTACAACACCTCAAGGGGCTTTGCTAATAAATGTGAATGTTAGCATATATATGAAAAATCCCAGTTAAAGAGACTATGCCTCTCTCTCACGTCATTGACAATAATAGGAAGTTTACACACTCTGCTTAGGATGTCTCAGTGTCTTCAAATAATTATCCTCATCTACTTAAGATATTTGGCAGAAAAGCATATTTAAAAAATAAAATCATCACCACAGTCACAATTTTGTACAATTTGCACAAACTTTTTTTTTTTACAGATTTGGGGGAAAAATTATATCGTCAAATGTATTAAACCTCTATTTTGCAGTCTGAGTGCTACGTCTCTGAAGATTAGGGTAACATAAGCATACTGTTTCACACTTCCATATATTGACCCTGTAGTCAGGTTTGATCATCCTGTTTTCTTTAGTGAGCTGTCCAACAGTGAAGTATGTTTCTTTTGGAAAAAGCACATATTTTCATTGCCATATAGGCAAGCCAGCTTTGCCTTCTTGCAAAAATCAGTTCATATACTATGAAAGCAGAAATCATAAGCGGGGGTCTACTTTTGTTTGCCATTATGGACACAGAATTGTGACTGCCCCCCAATTACCTGATTAAGCGAATTGTTAATCAGTTAAAACAGACAGTCAAGAAACAAACAACTTGAGCCTCACACAATTTTCCACCCATCTAGCATCTGCTGGAAAGGAATTCAGTAATTCAGGTGTGCTGTGCAAGACAAAATATACATCCTCACTCGTGTGAGGTTTGACTCCTATTACTGTCCCACTTATTTCTTCAGATGACAGCAATTGTGACTCTTTTGTCAAAAGTCTGAAAAAGGGACAGGGATATCAAATTCACTTTCCACTTCAGAAGCTGCAACAATCTGTTAGTCACTGTCGTGCTACTCACTCCCCCATAGTTGGCTTGGAACATCCCTGTCAGCAAACTCCACCACATACATGCTCCACAGAGAAAGGGTTAAAACATAATTCCCCAAAACAGTCCACAAAATTTTTCCTGTGAATCAACCACCCACCTTTTTTTTTTTTTTTAAACATACTCATTACATAATATCAACTTGCTATTTGTCATTTAAAGGCATTTTAAGTGATGGATTGCTTTAGGAACAGCAAAAACAGGCTTACTTTTAACGGTAGATAAGCAGCAATGGTGATGCTAGCACTGAGGTGGACATGGCCATGGTTGTAAGAAACAACAAGTGTTGTGTAGCCTTGAGTTTCACCTTTCACTCTGACTCCACTACAAAAATCAGCAGTTGGCTTAAGCCTTCCTGTCACATAAATTAAAAATATATTAATACATATTTGGAGAGAAATGCCCAGGCATTTTAATGCAAGTTCAACATGGCTTTTCCCAACAAAAACATTCCCACCAGAAGTAAGTAGAGGTCGTCTCCAACCAAGCAGGTAAACCAAACCAAACACTTACCAAAGTATCCCTGTCTCTCAAACTTCTTTATTTTCACACTGTCCTAGACAGGACATAAGTCTCCACTCTGGCACAAACTAATAAAACTTCTCTCACTGAATATTTTCATCTTGCTGTTCTAAAATGAAACTGGCTTGTAATAAGCACAAAGAGCTGCTTGGAGAAGTTTTCCTACCCAGAACAACATGAACTGTAGGCAACACATCAGGTAAGGTATTTTCATGAAATTTCTCTGACTAGTTAGAGGACGTCTGGGGGTTTGGGAGGGGCCTATTTTCTCTTTTGTTTTTTTTTTTGAAACAAACAGTACAGCAGCATACTACATAGTGACATTTATAATAGCTGCCTCTCAGGCAAACAGATGGTAGAATGCAGACTGGCTTCACTGGCTCAACAGCACAGGAAAGAGCTTCCATACACTTTGAAAAAATTAATGGCACATCTGAATAACACACCGAATTCAGCAGATACAGGAACAAGCACGTTGCTCACTGTCCTCTTAGCCCAGCAACACTAATGGCAATCTTTAAAAACAACATGCATACTCCATACCCTTAATAAACCCGACTAGAGGCATTTCTTAAAGCAATGAGCTTAACAATGACAGAGCTTTGGCAAAATGTAAGCAGCTGATTGTCTTAGTTCCTTGTGAGCAAACACTGAACAGCGTCTTTATAGAACTGAAAGTACTGCCAGACGATTCAGGCAAAGCAGTTAGTAATCTCAGTGTCCTTGTTAAGTCTTCCAATGCTATCTCAAAACATAATGTAAGTGGACCCCTCTTATGAGAAACCCATCAGCTTTGCTACAGAAGCATGTTAAAAATACTACATCAGTAGAAAGACGGATGGGCGACTACACATCCATTATTTCAGAGTCCCCCAAAACATAAAAAATATCAAAGGGAAGTTCTGTGTAAAAAAGTAAATGCATCCTCAAAATAAAACTGCTCTGATCCCCACCTCTGAAGTTAAGCACCTCTGTGGGAATACTGCACACAGCAACCGAGACTGCGATTTAAAGGAGATGTGTGACTTAGTAACATCTGAATTTAACTTTCAAAACAGAGAGGGGGTCAAATCACCTGGAAGTGGCCTGAACACACCACGGTTTTCTACTTCCACAACTAGATCAAAATGTGAGCAGTCGCTTAGTGGGACCGTCTCGCCTGTCTCAACATTTGTTAGGCCATTAATCCTTAAGGGCAGCTCCAATATTTGGCCAACACGTGCTTCAACTCGGCATGGTCTGAACTCCATCCCGCTAGGTTCAGTTACATACACCTGAAGGAGGAAAGAAATACAGGACAGAGATGTAAGAACACAACCACACAAAAAGGTACCAGGAAAAAAAAAAAGAAAAATAGACTTCAACATGCTCTGCGTATTTTAATTAGCCCTCTCATGAGCTTCTCCCAGTTGCTGACTTCCCTCTGATAGCTGGAAACACTTCTTAGATTCAACATTGCTTTTGTGTTTACCTGCTGCAGAAAGGGATCAGAAAGGGCCAGGAAAAGCTTGCTACTACTTCAGTGCTCTTTTCCCACAACAGTCCACGTTCACATTAGCTTGGTGATCGTTTCACTGCTACTTCTATAATTCTCTCTTCTGCTTTGTTGATTTTGAAGCGTGGACTAAGTTCCACAATATCTCCAGGAGGCACTATCACCACCCAGGAGAGATTTAGTATCCACCTTTGACTTTCAGAGTGTAAATATTTGAGCTACACCTGACACAGTCAGCAAGGCTCCCCAGCCTCCATCACTCACAGCGGCAGGTATGTAGAACCTAAGGGAACCAACGACTGAGACATTTCCCCAATGGCTTTCTTTTTCTATTCTTGCATTTCTGTTGGCAAAACATTTTTAAAGGTGTCCAGGGCTCAACATTTTCCCACAGTAGTATGTCAGAAATCTAAAATAAGTGAACAAATATCTACTGCCTAATCTAACAACCTTCTGCTTCAACAAGTAACCTTCATGTGAGAGATGCTTTTGAAATCAAAAGGACTACTTTCAGAAATAAGACCAGCAGAAACACCTATTATAGCTGGTATGTTGCTGAACAAGCCTTAACTGTACTATTTGTTACTCTAATTTGCTATTTTTCCACTAATGTTAAAGAATCCAACACATATTTCCTATATATACGACTGCATATTTCATAACAATCACTATGATAAAAGCTTTTCACTTGCAATATCTTAACTTCCTAACCATCTGCAAATGGCTTCAGGATAGAATATTGAGCCATATGGTAGAGAGTTAAAGCTGTAATCCTTGTGGAACATAGTTAACTATTCCTAAAACTTTCTCACCAAGGTCAGTAAATAGAACTCTGAAGAATTATTCTATGAAGAAAGCAATTCCTAACGCAAGGGCAAAGGCATTCAAAAATAAGCTATTCAGATTGTGTAATACACTGCTCTGAAAGCTCACATGGAGAAAAATACTACTTCTGTCTTCAGGCTTTGACTTATGTTTGAAGATAAGTTTTAACTGAAAAAAAATCTTTGTTCCTGTATCTCTTGCTGGTAACTGCTGCACTCCTAAAAAGCAGCATCCTGGGTTGTCCAGAGAATAATTTCAGAGCGAGTCTGTAAACTAAATTTTAATTTCCATCATTATTTTAACCATTTAGGTCGTTTATTTTAAAGCATGAAGTTTAGTACCTCTTAAAACGTTTGGCAGAATTGACATAAATAATACGACAACAAAACTCCAGCTAACCTGTCCCTTAAAAACCCCAGCATTGGTAGGTGCAGCTGTTCCAAGTAAAATTTGATTAGGAATATCTTTCCCAAAACACACATACTTTAAAAAAAAAAAAAAAAAAAAAAAAGAAAGATACCTTCTTACATAGCTCTCTCTTCACTATGGGACAGACTTGGTAGTCTTGACCAAGCACATATTTAACACTTTTGTCCAAAGGGACCTTGGTACAACACAAGTACAGTACAACAATCACAGCAGTGCTGTGCATGGGAATACTTAAAAATTACAAGGTATTTTGTATAGCTAATGTATGTACATTTGATGCAATCAGCTTGTTCCCCACTAGTTGCTAAACTACAGGCATGGATCCTGGAAGGAAGGTGCACTACCCCAGGACTTGTGGAACGTGCTTCCTAAATCAAGTTCTGTGCTCCCTCTGAAACAAGGACCAGCACCTTTATAAAGCCTCAGACAGATGGAGGTTGGTTGCCAGCCTCAACAGCATCCACTCGGCATAAACAAACCTATTTAATTTATGACCATGCAGTTAGACAAACACAGCCTCTGGATCCCAGATAAGTCACATGTGCTCAGTACGTGCAGCTAGCTCTCAGTTTTTTCTGAGGTCAGGAGCAACTTTCCTCTTCTCTGTCAGGTTTCCATTCCAATGCTTACCTCTTTGCAAAAGGCACAGAGTTAAAGCATAGATTAAAATGCCTGAATCTGTGAAGGTAGCAGAGTAGCACTACTTCACAGCAGCGAATATACACCGCAGCACTACTTACTTTTAGTTCCCATTCTGTCATGTTACAGGCCCAGCAGTTCTTAACAGGCAGAGAGAGTAAACACTCACACAGTTTCATTAAGGAAAATTGTGTCCAAAGGACACAAGGAGGTATTTCCAAATCAATAACATTCTAGAGAAAAATACTTAAGATTGGAGATTTACAGCATCAACCAGAGCAGCTTCTTCACCTGCCTTTGCACACTCTCTCCTGTGGGGCCACTACATACACTGTTCCTGTATTTTTTTCACTCCGTATCACACACGGATCACCCTGACCAAATCCGAGCAGGGTATGATTTGCACAGAGGCCACAAAACCCCTCTTGGGAGATGTATTTTTCATTACCATTTTCTCCTAATGTTCCCAAAAGATCAGTTTTTCTTGGACAGCTTTGGTACCTGGATTCATTATGTGGCACTGTACAGCATTTCAGCCGCCTCTCCAGGCAGGAATTTCCTTGCACATCTTGATGAGATCTGTCACCGTTTTATACCGAGGGAAAACACCCACCTCTTACCCTGCAGAATGCATTTTTAGTTTGGCTTGTCTGCTTAGATGGGTAGGCCAGTAGTAAATCAGCATTTCCTTCTTGCACTCGAAACTTTCAACAAGGGAAAAGACTTGTCAAGGAAATCAGGAAGGGGCAAAAATGGGACTTCAGTTAATGCAGCGGAGAGAGCTGGAAAGGGGAATGCCTATGGCATTCTCAGCTTCTTCACTGTTTCCACGTGCCATATTCAAGAGCGACCAGGGAAAACAAGAGTTTTACCTTCATCTCTCCATAATGCAACGGATTCTGAACATCAATTGCCTGAATAACACTGACGCCAATATCACTTCCAGTTGTCATTACTCCTTTGACTGTCACTGTAGCAACTGCTTGGTTAGAATAGGACCAGCTGAAATTTCCACTTCCGCCATGAGCCTGGAATACAGAGAGAAAATCTTTCAAATATTTTATAAACGGTTCTCACATTTCTTAGCTGTCAAGCCTTTAAGTATCTTGCATGAAAACCAGGGACACACTGAGCAACAATGCTATTATGTGGAAACACAAACACAGTAACACCTCAGAACTTTCCAATAAAGAAGGCTGAGGAAGAGACGAGAAGATTACCACCCTTCATTCATTTTAATTTCAGCTTTCTTCATGCACTTATGTGCTCACCAGTGCTGCTAACCCAAATATCCCCCTCCCAGCTGCAAAAGTCAGATGCTCACAACTCTCAGTGATGGATAGTGCTTAGAGTCAGCAGAGCATTCCACAAACTGGCACACCAGAGGCCTGGCACGTGGGATTATTGTACCTCTGAAAACTCCCACCATTTCTCTGTTGCTGACAGCCAAAGTGCTGATTTTGGGTCTCACAGCTGCTAACCTGACACCCTGCGCCTACTAGCTTCTTTCAATGGGAATTGCTAAGGGATCTAAAGGGAAGAGAAAAGAAGGTGGGAGGCAAGAGGGGAAAAAAATCAGCATGTCTGCCTGCAGCCACTCAACAAACACACTGCTCCAGCAACTGATCCGTCATGGAATGAGCAACAGGCACACACAGAAACCGCCCACTCCTGCCCCAAGCACTGTGAGGGTCTGCGAAATGTACAGGCTACACTCCCAAAAGGAAGGGGTCAGTAACTGCCAAACTTACAGGCTCAGATTTATCATGCAGTTGCTGAAGAAACAATCATTGCAATGCTGCAGAAAGCATAGGTTTTAAACACCATTACTGTGAACTATAAGAAGCGTCTGTTGAGACACATACCGTGCAGAAAGGTATGCCGAGAATAACGTAACTTAAAGCAAGTTAAAAAAAAAACTTTCACACTTCAAAATAATTTTCAAAGTTCCATCAGAGTAAAACAAGAGTGAACATTGTAGCAATTATTTTGTTCACATGTATTGTTTTAATTTCTTTCACTTTCTCAGCATTTGCTCTGATCCATTTCATAATTGAAGTAAAAATGAACAAGATGATAAATCTCATCTAGAAGGACAGTGTGGAAAATAAATCTAAACTATGCATGAGCCTAGCTAATAACTTTTACAGGGGCTGGGGATCAAAAGGATAGTCATTGCCCTTTTTCCTTCCCATGAGCATGTGCACAACCTGATTACAGAAAAGAGCACTGGACAAACGGATAAAGAGGTAACGGTGCATGACAGAAGGGATGGGGGTAGAAACACTTAAAGCATATAAGAGTTCAGAATGTTTCGTAAAGATATTTTCAACTAAAACAGGGAAATGAGCGGAAAACATAAAATAGAAATACCCAATTCTTAATAATTCTATGGAGTCACATCTTGTTGCCACACAAACCAGATGCATTACTACATTCTTCTCTCTAGCAGTCAGTTTGCACCAAGAAGAGAAAGGGCAAACCAGTTTCTGTTTCAGTCTAATCACTACCCACAGCCTGTTAGCTGAACTCCACAAACTGTTGCCAGTGATGGTCATACCCTCACTAGAAAAAAAAACAAACAACCTCCATGTCCTTAACTTCACAAAGATGACACTTCAACTTCTCTAAGGCATGGAAGGAAGGAGAGCTTTTATTTTTTTTCCTTTCATACTTGCAACAGAAGCCATTTTATTAGCACAAATATGAAGAAAGCACCCAACAAAAAACAGACAGCTGACAAAGTGAAATTTAGAAGTAATTCCCATACCATCTGGAAGGAGTTACCTTAGCTATAAAGAGAATTTGTCTAGATCCAAAAATCTCTTTCAACTTATTTTCAGAAAAAGTGTATGCACGGATTCAAAACAGCCTGACTCAAAAACTATGGAGTAGGAGGCAAACACTAATCCCCAGACAGGAACAACAATCAAGCTGTGTGCTACTGTAAACCACCACTAGTACTGTTGAATGGGCAGATTAGGAAACTGTTCTCAGTTTCAGTAAATGCAAACTAATTCCTATGTTGGGAGAATAAAACGTTTTATGTTGACAGTGAAAAAAAACCACAGTAACATGAGAATGCTGATGCAGATTATTGAAGTAACATAAAGGAACGTTTTGTAGTGAGATATTTGATGATACATGCAAGATAAGGTGAGAAAAGAACTGTAAAAGAGGTAGGAAACAGAAAATCCCATTTACTTTCCCGTACTGAAAATGCGTATTTGGACTAAGAATTTCTATCACACTCTGCTGGTGTGGTTGGGTATAGCATGAACTAAACCAAACTGTAATCCCACAGAAATTACAAGTACAGATGACAGCACTAAACTCAATGGTGTTAACTTCAGATTCACACTAGAGAACACAACGTTATCCCTATGGGATTGATGGGTTTACTTCAGACATCACGCATCCTGCTGCCTCTTTCTGTACACTGTTTCCATGAAGACAGACCCAAAACTCAGCACTGCTTCATGCTAAAAGGGAGAGGGAGGAACTGTCCATGAAATCCTTGCATTCAGGATCTGAGCATCATCATACTGGGGTGAGAGTCGGGGCTGGGGAAGCACAATGTTCTTCTCTCCAGTTACACGACACGCTGTGTACCAGTAGACAAGCCATTTGCTTCATTAAATGTACGGAAAGATTGGCAGTAGGGGAGCAAACACATACATAAAACATAAGAACATGCAAGTAAAAAGTCCTTTTAGGAGGGCATACTGTAAATGAAACTGTGGCCTTTGCCTCCCTATAACTTTTTATTAGATGTGTGGGGAGTGAAGGGTGCTGATGTCAAATGTCAACAGGGCGTTGCTCATTGATCTCATCGTGCCCTTTTTGCGGTCACCTCACGCTCCCATACTTCTGTCCCTTTACACTAAATCGCAGCCTCAATTTATTACTATTAAGCTTTGTACTTAGGATGTTTTCTGTCATTTCAAACCACTCTGTGCATATGTGTGCGGTGCATACCTGAGGGAGAAAGGAAGTGAATGAAAGACAAGAGGTTAAAATCTGCGGGGTTTTTGTGTTTGTTGAGTTTTTGTGTGCTTTTTTAACCTTCACATTAATTCCTGCAACTAACATCCAACAAAACTCCTCCAAATTAACTTTTGGATACCACTGTGCTGAAGTATCCAAAGCCAACTCTCTCTAAGTGGTTGGTTACCAGCCCTACTGTGCCTGCTCGAGCAATTCTTCCTGTATTTAAATACTTCTCTGGCATACCTGTATGGTGTATTGGTAGACTCCTGCTTTTGGCTGCCAAGGAAACGTCAAAATGCTGGGTGAAAGAACTATGGGAACATATATTTCAACATCTTGCTGGTTTCGCACTGGAACTGGTAACGTATGAACACCTCCGTCCTACAAAAAGCAATGGCACAGTATGAGAAATGACACCATAGTACTTCCCAGGAATAATGTTTAATCCTTATATCTAGACAAGCTGTTGAAAACACCTCAGAGAGAAAAGGAAAGCAACTGTTGAGGGTCATTTATGAACAGTGTTATTTGTGAGCACAGTCATCTTATTGCAGCAAAGTGTGCTATTGTATTAAATGAGCAATATTACTATGGAGACACAGGGGTCCACATTAATTCACAGGCAAACAGCAGCAAGAAATACATTCTTTCACTGCTCCTAGTTTCTGAGACCTCATCTGGAGAACTAATTCTGTAACTCTACACCTGCATTTACTTTTTGCTCATTCTACTCTGCAGCAGCTGAAGACAAAACTCAGTCTAAAAGACCCGCTCCTCAACCCATCATGAAATACCAGCCTTTACAGCTTTGCTGGAATTGCAATGCCATAACCCTCTGGCACAACAAACTGTGTCTTACTGGAGTTCTGAAGGAAAACTTTAGCAGCTCTCAGTTGCCCTTGTTTCACTCAAGAGTACCTCTCTGACATAGAGAATGAGCATGGCTTATCACGTACAAGGATCTACTAAATCTTACTCAAGGAATCACTAGAACGATTTCACAGCAAATGGGTTGAAGTGTTGAATTTTTCCAAGTTTCAAGCAAAAGCAAATCACTTTCACACCACGTGCCCTAGTTAGCCATCCATTCCGCAAGCCTGCCCAACTAGCAGAAAGTTAATGAATATTAATTGGAAGAAATTTGCAGGCTGATACATTTGGCAGATTTTCATTCCAGCATTTAACGTCACTTACCAAATGACAGAAAACTTCCCAAATGTAACTGAATGCGGAACAAGGCCAGGGTATGACACTGATGATCCTACCACAATAAATTGTAAAATTCACTCAGAGATTGTGAGAGAACCTTTGCACCAGCACAAGGATACGACATGTGCCCACAAAAGCATCTGCCATTTAAAATAAAAAAAACAAAAGCGCGTTGTGCAGCACTAGCTGTGCCCACAAAAGCATCTGCCATTTAAAACAAAAAAAAACAAAAGTGCGCTGTGCAGCACTAGTTTAACACGTGTTTGCAACACGCCTGGTAGTAAACTCCCACAGTCTTTATCCAAGCAAATCCCCTGCTGACTTAACTGACAGTTTTCCTGAAGTAAGGATTTTAGAATCTGGTTCTTAATCTTTAAGAATCTTAATCTTTCTTTAAACAAAGACAGCTTAGAACCCTGTAATTCTTAGGTTTCCTTTTACTATGTCACTACTAAGTCACTACCACACAAGTAAATAATTTTTAGGCCTACCAGTAAAGCGGAAGAGTTATTATCAAAACCTACCTGATCTACTACTGATGTCAATGCAGCATCAATAATGGTCTGACCCTTCTTTATCGCTTTCACATAGTGATACGATCCATTCAGAGATGACTTCAGCACCTCAAAATATTCTTTGGACAGTTCTGTATTAATTCTGATATTCTAAAATCAGAACATTAAATAGATATTGCTACAGGTAATTGACATTAACACCATACAGATAGCCATAAATATATTAGCAACAAATCAATGAGAAAATAATTCCTTCATAACAGTTCAAAGAAACTTATCTGAAACTGAGTAAGAACTTCTCCCTATAAAAGTTTCAGTCTTTCAATAAGATTATATCTTTTAGACATAACACTAACCCCACAGAAAATATTTACCTTTTTAAACTATCAGCGACACCTAACTTAACATGAAAATTATCAATATTTATACTACTAAATAATTAATATTTTACAATAGTCTTAATTTTTTCATTCTAAACACAAAAGGGGATGAATATGCAAACATCCTGTCCCAACAGCACATTTCTTCTGAGATCTAGCTGAAACTCAGATCTGTATATCTCAGGAAGCAAATAATAAAACACCCACAGAACCTCAATATTCCTTAAAGCAATAATTTAATAGATTTTTTCTGCTTGGAAATGAACTATTTAAATCTTCTTTACTTTTTGAGAGCAATGTATATGCTAACCATCTAAGCTTTCCATCAGCTGAAGGAAACGGGTAGCTCCCCAAGAGTAAGCCTACCTTACACCCCATTCTCTGATAGGAAAGATTGTCTCTAGGTGTGACGAAGCCTACCTTACACCCCATTCTCTGATAGAAAAGATTGCCTCTAGGTGTGACAATATTATATTTGGGGGGACTGATGAGATGAAGTACCGCATTAGTACTGCTCTCCAGTCGTTACATCAGTTTGCAATTTCCAGTGCAATGCTTAGGCTACATGTTTTGAAGTGCATTGTCCAACTTCTTCCTTTTTTTTCCAGTGCAATGCTTAGGCTACATGTTTGAAGTGCATTGTCCAACTTCTTCCCTTTTTTTTTTTCTACAGCACTTAGACTCCAATGGGCACTTTCACATGTCCTTTTTTTTTTTTTTTTCTACAGCACTTAGACTCCAACGGGCACTTTCACATGAATCACCCAAAGTACTTTATTTTAAAAATAACAAAATAACAAAATAAAAGGAAAAAAGGAAAAGGCAAGAAACAATGTACTTTGGAATGTCCTAACTCAATGTAAATAAGTAATAACTGACTTCAAAGAAAGCCAGGATTTAGGAGATAGAGACTTTTTTTTTTCTACAGCACTTAGACTCCAACGGGCACTTTCACATGAATCACCCAAAGTACTTTATTTTAAAAATAACAAAATAACAAAATAAAAGGAAAAAAGGAAAAGGCAAGAAACAATGTACTTTGGAATGTCCTAACTCAATGTAAATAAGTAATAACTGACTTCAAAGAAAGCCAGGATTTAGGAGATAGAGACTCAGAAGTATATCAACATTACACTTACATCAGATAAATACACCTTATTGCTCGATTTATCATACACTTCAATTGTAATTTCATAAAGTCTGCCTGTTTCCAGGACCCATCTGTCACCTGGATGAACTGTAAATCCTACAAAACAGGAAATATTGAACAGCAGTGAACAATATTGAACAGATCAACGGCCTCTTTACATAACGGATATAAGCATTCCGCTCCTGGCACCCAAACTCTGACGATGCACCTTCACTTTTGCTGAATACAGAGATGAAAGAAAATAAACACTTACTGCTAAACCTACTTCACATTGAGCTACTTTTATGAACAAAATTACTGTTCTGTGAAAAGTAATATGAGAAATGGAAGTGTGCATGTGTACACACAGAAAAACACCAACACGAAAACAAGGCAAGAAATTATATACAGCGATCAGGAAAACTGCAGCCAATACCAACCTAAATACCCAGGATTTACAACATAGATAGTGCTGTTTGGTAGTCTGGAAACCCCTTGCATGCGAATACCTGAAATTTCAGTAAAGGAACAGAAAAGTTTTGACAAAAGTCAAGCAAAGTTCAGCTTGTTCCTGGGGCTCCCTGTGTCTCTTTGGATATTTAAAGCTCATTGTACACTGAAAATAAATGTTATCCCCACTATTCTGAAAGACAGTGAGCATTTACATGAGATTCCACTAGAGAATATAATGCTTCAAATATAAAAATTAAATAAAGCCCCATCGCATTTCCAGATTGACTTCAGGGAACAGACATGACTTAACTGATCTTTTGCCGACCTGATTTCTTAGAACATCAGGCAGCTCTGCTGAGACTGAATTCACAGCAGTGCTGCTTCTATGGCTCCACCAGGTGTTCCTGATTTTCAAGACTACTACTACAAATATGGATAATTTTATCTTTTTGTGCTGCACAGGGTGGAAAGTCTCCTGTCACAAAGATTGGGATGGAAAAGCATCACCTAGGAAGGATACTCTTGTGCCCAAGTACGAGGTTAGTTTGTCCCTGCTGCAATGCAGTTACAACTGATGTTGCCTGGTCCAGCTTGGCAACCGGCCAAGACAGATCTCCCTCGGGACCAAGGACGTTGTTCTGTAGCTGCAGCTCGTACTGATCGGACGGCATCATTAACTCTGTACAGAAAACAAGACAGCATATGAAACTATAAAAGCAAATGTGTCAGTGTTTGGATGCTGCTAATTATTGCTGATTAATTTTTACTGATTCCTAGTGCACACATTAAATCGGTGTTTTTAATGTCTTGTAGAAACAGCATTTCTGTGATTATATCAACACACAACATGAGCTTCTCACCAAACTTTAATTTATTTGAAGCTGCAATTTCCAACTAACACCACTGCACTGTTTAGACCTAACATTCAATTCACTCCCAGCTTCAGGAGTCAAATTACCTTCTGTAAGTTACTGCCAATTTCTGCTGCTCCATTCTGCACAACTAACAGATGTAGTGAGCCTAGTTTACTAGCCCAGTAAAACATTTATTAACTAGTTTCTAAAAGAAAAAAAAAAAAAGAAAGAAAAAAAATCACTACCAGCACAGGCTCCTTGTACACTACAGATATGGTTACAAATGGACATAAAGCCAGTGAACCGACACTTGTGGAAGCGGAGCAAATCCAACTGTCAGGAAAACATTTTCTGTTAGAAAAATAGTTAATCTAAACTTGATTTAACTAAGAAGGTCATACACAGCTTCTTAGTTGCATGAAATAAATAAGTACATCTAAAATAATAGTGTTAGCTCTATTCTAAGTTACTTACCTCCATGCCCTTGACAAACCTGCAAGAGTATAACCTTTATAGACACAAACTTTTTTGAGAGAAAAAACTTTAATCATCTGTATCATCATGTAGTTTAGGACAACAGTATTAAATAATAACAACACAGTTTAAACTATTAAAAATTTCTAGCAGTTAAAAAAAAGAGAAACAGGACAAACCTGTAATCTTCCCTTGCCTTATTTTCTGAACTCTGTACTGAATTGATGTTCCCACCAGAAGATAAATGTCATATGCTGGGTTTAAAAGGATGTTTTCCAAAATGAGCAATCTGACTTCTGCAGGATGTACATGCTATTGATTGAGGGAAAGAAAAAACCCCATATTTAAAGCAGCTCGTTTGTTTGAAACGGACCATGCAGCAATAATTTATAATCTATAAGTGAAAAATATTACTTGCTGTAATTGGCTTTTTATTATCCTCTCAAATTTATTCACAACAGAAAAATGCAAAGGACAACAAATGGTAGAGAGATCTGCTCTGTGCTTACTATGTAAGGCCGAAGAAAAAAAATTGTCTGTATAGACACCATTTTGGTTCAGTTATCTGGAGAATACAGGAAAACTTGAGACAGATGCACAGTGCCTACTCAGATGTGTATGCAGAGTAACTACATTCAGCACAATTATCAAAGGCAGAACTGTAACACAACTAGAACTCTTAACATGCATGATTATTTGTGCCATGTTACCAGTATTGCACACAATTAGATATCATTGTCATAAAACACTTTTTACACGTATGGGTTAGACAGTCCATTCCAATTCTGCTTTAACCAAAAACGTTAAGTATGACACGTTGTAACACAAATCTGCAAAACCAGACTGCAGCTATGAGAGGAACTTCAGAAAACCCCTTTAATTTTACACAAGGTTTCTTTAAGGTGCAGTATTGCATTGAGACTAGCACAATGCCAAGTGTTCCTGCAAGCAATAACCCATAAAAACTCTCTCAGGTGCTTGTAAATTCTATTAAGAGAAAAACCAACTCTATTACCAGGGTTAAATGAAAAGCTCAGTCACCACAAGTTACAAAGAAAGAAACACCATGGATCTACATAACAGGTGGAAATACCACCCCTACTGCCGTTTAACACTATTGTAGGATTGACGTTCTGACCCCAAAGCCCTTCTGTGGAGACCAGAATCAAATGAGGCAGAATTAGATACTAATGAAGCATTCACATGACACTCACTTCTAGCACGAGAGGAAATAAAGGTATATACAATATAGCAATCCTTCTTCTGGGTATTTATTGAAAAAAGACCTAAAGTGTTCCAGCTGCTGATTTTTAAAAAGAACTACAGAGCCAGTGTCATTCTAGTTATGTATATATAATATGAATGAACATCAGGAATAATAAAATCACCCAGAAGCACTTCAAGTGGATTCCTCTGCTGCAGGGCCTTTTGTCTGCGAGTTAGGTTTAGAAATGATCTCTGGCACATGCACTGTCCTGGGTGAGGTAACTGCCCCAAGGTAACCGCATCAAAGCCCAGCCCTTTCAGGGTGACCAAGAGTAGCACTGTCACCTTTTGTGATACGGGCTACAGAGTCAACCCAGTAAGACAGAGATGCAGCATTGATATCCCCAATGGGAACAACACGGCAGGGCAAACTTACAGTACTCCTGTAACATTGGACTCAACGACTAAATAATAAAAAGATGAATGTAAGTTTCTTACCTTATAGACACTTTCCTGTATTCTTGCTTTTAATTTAGAAGTCCCTGTTTTCATTCCAGACACCAAAATGGTATCTCCTTGCTTGGCAACTTTTTCCATCTCCGATATATAGGAAGGTGGAATATAACTGGATTCTAAGAACTTGAGTATACTGAAAGGTGAACCGAGAATTGAATACAAAATTGTTAACCAATCTTTGTAAACCCACAGAGAAACACCACCACCACCTATTCCCAGCTATTTCCATGTTTTAAGCAAATTTAAGATGCCTGCCTGGGACCAGATATCCAAATTTTACTCATTCTCGAAGATATCCACAGCTAATTTCTATGACTGATAAGTTTGTTTGAAGCCTGTTTGTGTGCTTTAAAGAGATATCAGAAGACTGCACATGTTGTCTGCAATGATCCCTCCAGTTTTTACAGTAGGTGTAGACCGCAAAAACTCTCTAGATTATTGTAGAACAACTGATGCGAAAGACCCAAAGCTTGTGTTTATAAAAGCAACAGCTTAACAAACCAGAACATAACTTTGACCTAGATGAAGAAGCCAGCATGTGTTCAATAACTGTGAAAAAAACCTACAAGCAGAACACTTACAGTAACTGTTATAAATTTCAATGAGATGTGACAACAGAGAGGAAAGGAATTTGCCACGAATGGGTAAACTACAGGACAGACATTGAAAGAGGACCATGTTTGAAAGGTTGCCAGCTTCTGTAGGCACATGATCCGTTCGGCTTTACGTACCCGTTCAGAGTAAAATCAGCAAAGTCATATTGAGAACGGTTATGAACATTAACATATTTATGAAAGTTTATCATTTCTTTTGCAAAGCTGCAACAAAACTAGAACATTTTTAATGTTATCATAGCTGCACCAACACTAGAAGATAGATCAATATTAGTTTGGTTAAAAAAAATCACATCTTTAGCAAATACTTATACTGAAGCAAAAGCTCCGTAAGGACTAGGACTTGGATCATAAGTCCCAGTGAACCATTAGCACACCTTCCGGCTCTCCCTACAGACAGGGGCCACACACTCACACCTGCAGCTTCAAGCACATGATGGGCTTACCAGGCTTTCCTCAGGTAATGCCACTTGTTTGTTTCTCTAAGGCTGAAAATTAGAGTTTGTGTTTAGCCAGTAGCAGAGAGTGTTGTTTGCTACTCCCCCTCCATTTCCAATGTATTTGGAATATAGGCTTGGAGACTGAAGCCGACTGGTAACCATTCTGCTCTCTAAGAGAACTTGTCTCCCCACATTCCAGTCATCATATGAATGAAGTCAGGTTCTTTAAAGGAAGACATAGTTTCCTATGTTATTTGATGTCCCACAATCCACCTACTTTTTTCTGGAATCTGTTTTCTAAAGCAACCGAAGCCCTGGTGCATGAGTTTGAATCTGTTTCATCTTACAAGCTTACTACGTGTTAGGGAAGTTTTGACTAAAGCTGTACTCAAGAAGTGTCTGTAAACTATTTTGTGAGAAAACCCCTTGTTTCATGGCTTTTCAGTTTGGTCAAATTCACATATATCACGGAGGCTTTTTTTTTTCCTACCAACATTCATGTTGAGCAAAGTCAGCATTCATCACGGCACATAACATGATGAAGACAAGCATAATGCTGCTAGCTAACAAGATCCTGGTGCGTTGACACCAGTTGTTGTCAATGAAGATAAAGTTCTTGGAGTTCAACTTGAAAAATACAGGACAAAAAATTAAAAATAAATCTCTGCTGAAATACTGAAATGACAGTCTCACTGATAAATCTTTCCTCCACACAAGAGGTTTCAGGAAGACCAACAGTTGCATCCATTTATTTCTAGTTGTTGGATTATAATGACCTGGGCTGCTCCTTAACACTGTCAATTGCCAAATTAAACAGGGATGGGAGTGCCCAGGCTGCTGAGTAGGCACTTAAAAAAAACCCCTTGAAGCAGCTGACCCATAAGTATTATTCTAGGCATCAGTTCAGTAAACTGCCCAGATGTGAGGAAATATTTGTACATCAAACCTAACGGACACGAGACTTTTGAGAATGAAGTAAATGAACTTACCGTAATGCATTGTGGGAATCTGAGAAGCCATCAGCCTCTGTGTCTTTCACTATTGTCCAGTCAAAGACTAACCCTGCCAATGTGCTGAAAGTGTTTCCTATAAATCAAACAATCAGATTAAAACAAAAACAAATAACAAGCAATGATCTTCCTGGAACACAAACTATGACTTTTTCCCCCTACAAAAATTCTTTATCTTATCCCTAAAAGAGGGATTTCTAACTAAATATCTATCAATATTTAGCTAAAAATCACAATCTACCTTGCTTTACTGACTTTGATAAATTCAAGATATTTTAGTTAACTGGCTTTTCTGTTGACATTTTGCAACACCACTTGTTGCTTTATGTTTTCACAAAGCCCACTGCATAAGTACAGGTGTCACCACCTACCCTCCCCTTGCCAGCCCCAGAGAGATCCTTGGTACCCACCACCTCCTTCCCCCTTTGACCACAAAAACCTTTTTATTTCTTGGATATTAGCAAGACACCAAAAAAACCTGATAAACAATCTTTCATTTTGAAACGTGGATCTGAGATACCATTCGGGTAACTTGAGTTCACACACTGATGAACTGCACGTTTCACATGCATCGTTTTGCTTTTGAATACATCATTTACCCATAACAGGGAAAAGACTCCACTGAAGGAGCTCAAACTGAGCACCTCTTTTCTACAAAACTGTGAACCACTAGAACAGGAGAAACTGTAAATATTAAAAAAGAACAAAATTGAATAAACAAGACTGAAAGCAAAGATTTATCATGATTGCATTAAGTGTAATGATCTGCTCATCTGAAACACCTTATAATCTTCAAGATGAGTCTTGCTCTGAATTTCAGGGCCCACTAGGACAAATAAATATGGACCTGAAATCCCTGTATTTACTCTATTTTAAAATACATTTTCATTTGTGTTCTTTCCTTTGACATTCATATCTATATTAATAAAGTAAGAATCAAAGCAAATTTATTCTCATTTCTTATCCTTAAAGGTTTATGACATTTTTAAGCCACAAAAATATTTTAAGAGCAGATAATGCAACTCACAGCTTACATTGTTTCTCCCTTTTCTATACAACTTACTACAGTTAGTTCCAAACCCCAAATAAATAGGATTTTAAACGCAAAACTCTATAAACTCAAGGCAGTATAATTAAAATTGATTGAGACTGGATTGTTTAACATGCACTCAAGTCTAACTTTCTTTCATGATGCATGCTTTAGCTCTGTAAACCTGTATGACACTTTGTTTTGCTCCAATTGAGAATAACCAGGCCAGGGGAGAAACGCACACCGTGGCACGATGGGAAAGGCTATGCCCGGACACAGCCAGTTCCACAGGTAGCGAACAGGCAGCAAAAGCACAAAACCATCCCTACAGCCTCTGAACCACCACTGGGGCTGGAGGTCCTGGCTCCTGCTGGGGTGCCTCACCATGAAGGTAAGGGCAGGTTATCACAGACAGACTATCCCGGGCATTCCCCGGGAGTGCAGGGTCTCATCCGTTCAAGACAGGACCAGCTATCTCAACAGCACAGAGGGCAGCAGCTGCCTCCAGGTGACACTGACCAGAGGCAGCACCCAGGGAGGCAGACAGGTAACACAGCACTCCTCATTAACTATATTGTGTCTTCGACCTTCCCTGCAGCATCACGCAGCGGTGAGGGGAGCTGTGGACCAGCTGCACCAGCCAGCTGTACCTCACCCTCCCAGGCTCCTCGGACACCAGTGCAGGCAGTGACTCATGCTCCTGCTCCACAGCCGTAAGCCGGCCCAGAGCTGCTCCTCTGTGATTCAGCAGCAGAAAAGTGGCTCTCACTGGCAAGGCTGGAGCAAACCCCAGTAAAGGCGGAGAGCTGGCTTGAAGTGCTCTGCTCCATCACCAGGGTAGGAAGCCAGTGTTCCTTGCACACTCATCACCAAAGAAATGCAAACTCACATCTTTACATCCTTCTCGTATTTGAGCAAAGTTCAAGAGATAAAAGGAAACAGTGCATGACTTCTTTTTCCCCTCTACATTCTGTACTTAATTTGGCCAAAGATGTTCATGATCATCTTCTTGTCTTGCATTAGCCATCTTTGAAAAGTAGCATTTGGGGACAGGGCTTACATTTGGAGTGGCTTATTAATAACACACAAAAAGGAATCTGCATTAATGTAACTGATTTAAAAACACAGCTTATGAAAAATATAACAGGACAATATACATAGATATGGAAGAGAGTAACGAAATAAACTATTCCTGAAGATAACATCGATGCTCACAGGAGTAGAATCATCAATATTAACGAATGAGCTGACCCGTATCAGATGCAATAAACTGGCAATGTAAGATGCAAGAATCACCATCAGTTCAAAACAAATCCCGCCTGGTACATCCCCAGGGCCTACTTAACAACTTCAAACACCAGGGAAACAGCCACGTCACTGCAAGACACCTGATACAAAGCATCTACTCTCTCTCCCTCTCCCACACAGGCTGCAGTAACAGGCTTGGCACCTGTCCTTTGTGCAAGTTCTCACCAAACCTAAGCAGATTTTTCCCAATATTAATTCAACTGGATAACTATTTTATATTTTTTTCACCTTCTAAATATTAAAAAAAGGGATTAAAAAAAGCCTTATTCAGTTCTCTGTCTTCTCCTGAACAAATGTGTCCTTCAATAAACTTGACACTCCTCTTGAATTTCTTTTTTTTTAAAGTGTGCCCTGACAAAGACCACAGAGTCCAATATGTCCAAACATCTCCTAAGGATGGAGCCCAAGGTTATCTGGCTCAAAAGGAACTGATTTTCAAAGCTTTTGTGTGTATCCCGATCCCCTACACTTAGATTGGGAAGTTTAGTCCTAAGGCTTCTAACCAACATCTTGTTTCACTCATGCAGATTAAACATTCTTTGTGCATTTTGAACCACTGCTCCTGTTCAGACTCTAGCCTGGGTGGCTTCCAAGGCAGATTTACCCATTGAGCATGCTTGAGAGTTTGCAGAACCGCCAAGCCAAGAATCCAGTACTACGCACAGTATAAGAAAACAAAATTACTTTTCATTATTAACATATTGCTGTACATAACCTGGCACTCATGCTTTACAAACAAACAGATGTAGGATGGCTCATTAACTATCCAAAATAAACAATTCAACCCTTTATAGCTGCTTTACGTATCATTTCAGCCTACTAGTTATCCTAAAAATCATTTGGTTTGTGTGAGTGTTGATGTGGGCATAAAAATTGATTGTTGAACCAAAGCACGAAATTCTTAACAGCATCGTGGTTCTTTTCTGATGCTACAGACAGTATAAAAAGCAGCAGTTTTCTGCTCCTACTAAATAATTATGCATTCAGTCCAAATACACTGACTTCCATGACCCTAAACAGTTCCTTCCAAAAGTGAGTGTTTCTATAATAATTTCCAAATACACTGACTTCCATGACCCTAAATAGTTCCTCCCAGAAGTGAGTGTTTCTATAATAATAAAGCGATATTAACCCAAGCTATAAGTGGCTGGTCTTCAACATCACCTCTGAACATCCTGTTGGATGCTTGATTGGACCCAGACAAAATGTCCTTTTGTAAAATTCTTTAGGCTACATCAGCTCAAAAGAAAAAAAGAAAAAGAACAGACTACTTCACATTCCTGTGAAGCCTTGCTCAGCCTAGTTAAATCCTGACGGGACATTTCCACAGGCCAAATGTTGGGACTTTTTCCATTACATTCTTATTCCTGACCTGGAGGTAGAATTGCTAAGAGCTGACACCTTTATTTTAATTATTTTAAATTCTGATTTTTAAAAATAACCTTTATTTTAATTATTTTAAATTCTGATTTTTAAAAATACCCTTGCACTAGAGTTAAGTTTCCTGGGAAAATAAGGAAAAAAGGTGAGCAAAAGTTGTTGGAAATCAAGCAGTGTTTGATTTTCCCATTTAAGCGGTTAAACAAAGACAATAGGTTACTGAATGTATTCTCTAGAGAACCCCCCTTCAAATTACTCAGCTTGGCTTCTAACATTCAGTGGTGTCACAAAAAAAACCAGTGCGTGTGCGTGTATCAATTAGGAGTTTCAATGCAGATTTTATCTCCTACTAGTAAAACTCTTACCTTCAGAATCCAAAGCCTGAATTTTTAGCTCCAGTGGTGAATCTTCAAGATAGAGTTCCCTTGTTGTGGACACAATTTGGATGTCATGAATTATATCAACTATAGCATCACAACGAAGCACTTGTCCAGTCACTTGAAGAGACATCAATAAGAGCACATGAAGTCAGCAACGCTGAACATGCAAGCACACCAACAAGACAAAATGCCCCTCAAATTTAGGCCAGTGACACAAGACACTGACATCGAAGGAACTGAAACCAGGTCAAGACCCTGACTAAGAAACTCTTGGTCATATGGTGATTGTGGCTAAAGAAGCAAGAAAAGCAGTTCCCTTCCTCTCTGAACTTTACAATAAATCTCAATTCATTGTGATTTCCAGCTACACTAAGTTACAGATGTTTTCTCTGAGTACATATTACGAGTTTCTACAGTGCAACTGTCAGACATGGCTCATGCCCTAGAGAACTTAATGACTCTTACCCAGGGACCATAAACTCCTGTATACCTCCTGATTTAGTGACTGCAAGACATTGACTTGACCATCTGTTTTTGCCTTTCTGTCATTATAAAAACTAAAGAGGTATATCGTATGACAGACGCAAAATCTCTGCTTTGTTTCTGGAGGATGCCAGGATGTCCATAAACAAGAGATAAAACTTACTTATATCTTCAGCAAAGATGATACTTGTCAGACGTGTGGGCTGTGAGGACCGTGCCTGGACAACAGCCTTCTGCGAACACTGGCGCTCATCCTGATCTGCCGGCTCTATGCTCGCAACCTCTGGCCTGGTGGAGGACCTACAAGATTATTTAGTTGTGTTAACAGGATTTAGGTTACTGCTAGACAGAAATCAAAGGTTTGGTTTAAAAGCCACCAAAATAATTTACAGGAGACATGCTACACGGTCAGAACCCGACTTTCGTAAGAGCTGGACAGCAACAGCTCCTCCAGGACTTCAGCAGAAGCGAGCGCAGGCTGCAGAAGGGGGAAAGCACAGACCAGAAGGCCACCAGAGCCCAGGCAGACAAATGCAGCGTTCTCTCCGCCGTGGCATGTTCACTGCCAAATGCAATTCAGTCAGTTAAGAGCAATCCCCAGCTACCTAAGAAAGTTACAAAGCTTTTGGCCTGACTGTTTATTGGCTTAGAGGTGTGGAACAAGAAACAACACATACAGAACGCTGAAGCAGAAGGTAAAACAGTTTTTGCTAGAGCTCCATTCGCCACTTGTAACTGGATTTTCAAAACAAGTTTGAAACAAAGTTCTGAAAAAACTGGAAGTTTTCCCTGATGACAGCACATTACAATTATGGATATTTGCTATCTATGGCAGAGGCTCTGAACAAGTGAGAAACAACATTTTTTAATCAAGAAATTAAAAAAAAATTGATTTAGTCTGTTTAGCTGAATTATGTAACACTGTGTAAAATATGCGAAGTTAGATAACCATCTTTGGTGAAACGTAGGCCTACGTGGAATTTTGACCTAAAAATAAAATACATTTTCAAAAATAGTCAATACACCTTTTACTTCCTGCTCTGGCTTGTATGGCTTTTCTAAAGACAACTGCTCCAGGAATGAGCTTGTGGGAATCTCACCACGGACGTGGAGCCCAGTTCTCATTTCCTGCGTGTCAAAAATGTCAAGACAGAGGCAAAAAAAAAAAAAAAGTGTAAAAGTTATTAAAAACCAAGCCTCTTGAAATTAAATTTGAGATAGTAACAATACACTTCTGAGGCAAGAATGGAGAGTGTTCAAAGCAACTAAAATATTCAAGCAGGCGATACCTCTCACAAATAGCCACAGAACATCACCCCTCTGATCTGGGATGAGCTGCTGACTGGTTTGGACAACTGGGTAGCAGCTGCTCTACACAACTCCTTGCTCATGCCATACCTGCGGGAGTCACTGCAGAGAAAAGAGAAAGGCAACCTCGCCGGACCACAGCTCAGAGCCCAGCACCCTGCTTAAGCCGCTAATGAATTAAGCGCCTGAAACAGCCACCACTCTTCACTCAGGGATCCCGAGTCAAAAGCTCTTTCACAAGGGTTCTCTGAAGGATTAAAACAAGGAAAGAAAGCACTGATGACAAAGCTGTTTAGGAATTGTTTCTCCCGGATGATGACAGCAGTTCTGATGAAACCATTGCATTACCTGGTAAATCCAACCTAAACGGGGTGCTAGATCCTCACCTGGCAAAGATGGGGAAGCTAGACTGATTTAGGCTTTTCTTGTGGAGAATGTTCAAAAATGCCTACCTGAGATCCATGGGAAAAATCTTCTAACTCAGCAAGGAGCTGGAAGGGAGTTTCAGACAAACACCAACACCAGACATGCCCTTTTCCCCTGACCCATGTTTTACCTACCTTTATTACTGGCAGAACCAACCAATGCAGAAGAGAGAAGAATTTCTTCTTAACTAAAACTGTATCCATTTAAAAAAATAACCTAACACAATATGTTCAGTTATCTTAGAGTTAACAGCTGCAGTCCAGCTGAGCACGGACCAATCTGTTTGTAATCGCTGGAATAAAACTGCAAATCCTGTTTTCAACCTTCAGCAATGAAAAGCACAATTCCGATGACAGTTGGTAATAGAGTGAACACCACGTTTCTCACAGAAACTTCACATAAAACAAAAATACATTGGTGTCAGCTCTCCAGTTCCCTACATATGGGTCTGGATTTTATCATATTACCCAGTCCAAACAATGAGGCCCCAAAAGCCTGCGATCTGAGGACACAAAACCCCAGTCAGAACATTTTTAGTTGTGCATGCTCATGGCAGTGCACAGGTTCAAACATTCCACAGCAGTATGATATTTCTGTCTGGGGCAAAATTCCTTAATTTAATGAATTATTAATTCAAAGTATTGGTGAGCTCCCAACAATACTTTGCTCACACAAAGACTAGTTTTAAAGGATTTTGAAACAGCATTAGCAACTGCTAACACAGACATTTCAAAGTGTTTTATCTTTATCTATTGAAACGACCCACAGCAGTATGAAACGAACATTTTAAACAACAATTGGAAGCTTAAACCTGAAAAGTGTTTGTTATATTCTGGATACCTAAGCAATGTACACAAATATGAGCAGATTTTTTTACTAGAGTTTACACAGTTTCTAAAATATCATTTATTTTCTATATCAATCATACATTTAACTTCACTACACAGTGATTAATTCAAGAGTGAAGGATTAGTTATTTTCCTGTTATTCTGTACCTTCTCAGGCAACCACAAAGCAGTTTTCCAACACTTAGCAAGTTTCTTTAAATGACGTTAGTATTCACAACCAACAAGGCTTTTTCAGTACTTGGCTGGCAGGATTTTTAAGCTAGGCATGTGGATCTGACTTAATATGCACACAGGTGTGTTGAAATAAGCACTATATGTATGGAATTGACTTCTACATTTCTTATTTAGTAGTTTACATTGCTTAATACTCTCTGCCACTAGATTTTTTTTTTAATTAATTTGAGATTTTTGTATTCTTCCAGTCTGAAATTGATTGGTTTTACAACACAACTGGGGTTTCCCTGTGTTTTGTATTTATTCTTTCAACAAATGATAATTCATAACCACCACAGTTTGCACTAACAGCAGTGTTGTCAAACTCAATCTATCTACGGGATATTTTTCAGATTACAAGAAGGAAGCAACAAAGATAAACTAAAAGTTTGCCTTAAATTTTAGCTGCAAACTTACATACACTCCACAAATAAAAAGGAACTTTTAAGCTCTTACAGCTGAATGCTCGTTAACTCTTAATTGTAACTGGAGTAGGGAACCTGAGACTAGATACTGTTTGGCCTCTGATGGTAGTTTAAAATAGGAGGTACAATATCAGATTAATTTCTTACTTTTTGAATACAAATACATTTTTAGTTTTATTACCAATAAGGTGTCTGCTATTTTAGGCAATTACCTGAAGTGGGCAGGTGAAGTAGGGCCCTTGTGAGGCTTTGGTTCACTACTGGGATTTATATTAAAAAACAATCTGCATGACTACTCCATAACATATGAAATATTTGATGACCTCTTAATATCATTCAGCAATATCCCAAGTTCATTCTGTTCACAGCTACATCTGATTCAGGGTCAAGTACAGAAAAGATGAAGCACTATTCTGCTGTAAAACACACAGGGATCACTGCTGCATCCTAGATGGACAAGAAAAATAAACTTTTGCTTTAAAATTACATAAAAAACTGCAATTTATGTCACCTTCCAAATACAGCAGATCTTCAGCAGTACGTCAATGTGCGATACTGAGAGCTAGGCTTGTCAGAGGTCAAAATTAGATCCTGAGAAGCAAGCCATGAGAAGCATTGCTGGCACTAGCTCTCGATCACATACCAGCGTCTACAAGAAAGTGCAAGGCAGGGGAGGAAGCACGGGAAAGAAGAGTGAGGAGGCGAGGAAAAAGTTAACAAAAGTCCCATTATTTACTTCCCTCAGGGTAAAATCCTACTTGCAGAGGAATTAATGACATCTGAAATAAAGACTGTCAGTCCTCTCGCTGATTTCCATTTCATTCACGACTTTCACCCGCCCAGACACAGAACTGTGTGCCAAGATCGGATCCACAGACCCCCACAAGCTATGCCTGCATTTCTTTAATTGACTGATCTATAACATCACGTGTCAATACTTCGAGGATTATACTTAATTCATCAGTTGGTTTAAAGATCAGGCAAATATTATTCTTTCCCTCACTCTAGCAATACTCTGTTGATTCTTACTGCATCAACATTCTCCATTGTTTTGTCAGCTCTTCAGACTAAATCCAACCGACTACATTAGCAAAAACCCACCTTTGTGCAGATGCACCATGACTGGCAGTTGATCTAATCTTTTAGAATTTATCAGGCATGTGGGCAGATACATAGCCAGAGGGAAATTGGATAGCAAAGGTTTTCAAGAGCTTGGTAGCTTGGATTGACCAACACATTAGGTACCTTTTTTCTAGTCACTCTTGGGACTAACACTGTTGACAGACAGAAATGAAAAGTGACACAAGAGCCAGAACAGCATCCAGGCAACTCTAGTTGTATGATAAAAAATAGATTCCCAGGGAACCAAGGATATGAGAAGTAAACCCATTCCAAAGAAAACACAGAGGGAGTCTGGCAGAGTTCCC